GAAATTCTCGTTGGTTCTACCAATGTATTATAAACTGAGTTTTTTATGTTTCCCGCTTTCTGATACTCCAACTTTAATTTTAAATAATTTTGAACAGTTTTCAATTCGTACTCAATTCCAGCACAGAATGGCTTAAAATTGAACAATTAACTAAAATTTTGCTCCGAAATTCAATGAAACCTAATTTTTTAACTTCACTTTTTCTCACACTCGAACTTTAGTTTAAGTAATTTTACTACACTTTAATCGATTTTAGTACAAGATAAATTTCCAAATTGAGTTCAACTTAAATTCACCTCCTAATTCAATAAACCAATTTTTCCCTTTCAAATTTTTTTCATCGTCATCAGTAATTTTCTTGCTTAGATTTGTCCTGCCACTACTCGACACTAAGTTCTCTGTATAAACCAACATCAAAATAAGGCAAATGTCTGCAAGAGTTTTCAGTAAACTTTTGACTGTTTACTAGAATATTCCTTCAAATTTATTAAAAGTTTAATATTTTCCTCACATAATTCCATCTGAGATCTGAATGCAACTGCTTGCTGATTAGTTATTCGGTAGTCTAGAATCGAACCTGTTATTTACCGGTCTTATACGTTGAAAAATGTGCGTAGGATTGGAATTACAGCAACCTTAAGCCACATAAAATGCAGTATTTATGTACTGCATTTCATTAAGACAGCGCTTTGAGTCTGTGGAGGTTCTTTATTTTAGGTCATAATTTACACGGTCTTATCGCGGCACATAAGGTGCCGAATCGGCCGTTTCAATTTTTTTCCCATTCCTGCCGCTAACCTGTTTATGCTGGGCGAAAACCGGCAATATTTGCATTCTTACAACATGTTTGGCAGGAAAAGGAGTCCTGCCATGCATGCAAGCAGCAACCGTTGGCCAATATGTTTGCTCAATAACTCTGATTGGGGAAAGTTGCCATTTTCCACTGTTGTTTGGATTAGTTTATAAATGTTGTCTCCGTCCCCTTATATGCGGTGTTCCCGTAAGAGACCCTGATGGAAAGTATTTACTGCATGGAGATTCAAAGAAACTTGCTATGGCCGAAGTGAGATATTTTTAAGCAAAACCATGTCCAATTTTTTTTTAACTTCATATTCTTCCAAGTTCTTTCTAAACTTTAAAAATTATTCTTAAAAATTTCAATCATTAATAAACAATCCAGGAAACGAATATTTCATTGTCAGCGAAGAGTCCCAGCAAAGAAATTACAGGATAAAATGATAAATCAGGCAGAATAAAATTGCTACATTTTCTGTAAGAAAAACAATAAAGAATGGCACAATTTCAAATTCAAATTGTTCAACAAAAGGAATCTTTCCAATTTATTTCGTGTATTTTTCTAAGAGAAACCCGAGAACCAGTATATTTAATTTACAATTGTTTGCATAATTTCCACCTATATTTTTGTAACCTTTAAAGATTTAAAAAAGCGTTTTCTGTGCTAGCGTACTAGTTTAACTTATATATTTTTAGCAAATCTGCTTACAGAATTAACAAAAAAGAAATTTAGATATGAAATTTAAAGTAGAATTTATAATTTTAATGTTTCCTCCATTTAATGTAGTTAATATTTCGGTCTAAAAATTTTCGCAATAATGTGTGTGTAACGTATTTGGCGAAACATGTATCAAACTGTGTTAAAATGTATTTGAAAATTATACTAGTTTTTTTTTCATTTTAACGAATTAAATTGCACGATTTCTGCGGAAGAAGAAATGCGTGCTTGAGTAATTAGCAAAATACACATTTATACTGTTAAATATTTTTAAATTTAATTAAAGTTAATATGGGTAGCGCCGTTCTAGAAAAATCCTCAAAATTCCCATTTGTATCGACTTGGCGAACAACTTCCCTTCAATTAAATGAATCTTGAAAAATACTCCATACTAATTTTGAAACTGTTATTGAGTAAGTACCACAATGCTCCCGATATAATTAAAACCAGATTTATCTTTTCATTCTCAACTAGAACATTACCAATGCGACAGTGTCTGCTTTGCAGGACAATAAAATTGAATTTTTGACTGTTATTACCATGTCGTGGCCAAAGAATATCCATTATGCTCCTTCATGCAATGCCTAATAAGGTATAATTAAAGTGGCATAAAAAAATTGGCAATCCAAATTTCCGTAGGAAAAAACTAATAAGCAAATAATCGTGATGCGTTGGCGTATGGAATAGTGCTTTTTTCGTTTTCCCACAGAAATTACCAATGGTAACAGGATATGATACCCCCTTGGGCAGCGGCCTAGAACAGATATGCAAGTAGACGAAGGAAACGCATAAAATTCATCATTTTAACATGGGAGAGTTGGCTCGGCTCTATGTTGATCTAAACGATTTCAGTTCAATCAAAGTATCAGATTGTTGTTAACAACCAATAAAACTGTCGCCGGTAAATAAACATTTTACGGCCTAATAATATAAGACCGGTTTTTTGCCATTTATCAGACCAAACATGTCGTCGGCATTTTTGTGGTGAAACTTCAAAACTAGTTTAAATCAACTAAATAAATTGCATCTGGCCTACAACACAGTGCAACGCGACGACTTAAATTTCGCAGATGTTGGGGAGATTTACTTGAATAACATTGACATCAATACGTGGATTGAATTCAAGTTCCCCCTGATTAATCGACGTTTTGTTATACTGGAATGGAGGGAACAAATATAACGTTAAATATACAAAATGGGTTTTGCGAACTTAATTGCGTTCGTGGTGTATAAATGGTTGAGGAGATTATTTAGGAACATAAATGTCCGGGAATAGAACAGCAACACTAACTAGTCATACATTTTTAAAAATTGATTAATCTGTTTATGAATCTTGAAGCGAAATTAGTCTGAGTATTGGAAAGAACGGTTTAAATTACTAAAAGAAAAAAATAGTTACATTATGCAAGGCAATGTCTGGAAAAAAAGAAACTTTCAAAGTGAGCCTAAATCAAATGTTCCATGTCATATTTTTTATGTAACTTCTTAAAATTACAACTTTTTCAAAATACTGTCTTTTACTTCGATAAAGATAATCTTTATTTTTTGACATAGTTTTGAATTGTTGAACGTAGATTTTCCAATTTTTCTTTATTTGTTTAAAATTGCCTTTATTTCATTTCTTACTCTACTTTCATAGTAAAAAAATTATGAGTAGTTATCGATGGCACAAAATGATTCTTATTTGTATCAGAAGTTTGCCATCTTCGAGATTAAGATTCCTGTTTATTAACAGTTTGTAATAAAAAATGTTGCGTTTTTGAGATTTACCTGAACAAAGGCATGTAGTTTTACTATTTTCTGGTTTTTCATTTAAGAAAAACACGTCTGATATTGAGCTAAACATTTTAGAAAAAGTCAAAATATATTTCACATTTGTAAACTATATTTTTCCACCTTTTCGTTCAAATTTCGATATTGTCTTGTATATAAGTTTTGGAAACAACTTTATATCAAAATCCAATATTTTTCCTTTGATCTCGGTTTTCAACTAAACACTCACATAAATCAACTTTCTTCTAATGAACCTGAAGTCAATTCAACCCACACTAGTCTAGGTCTTTCGTAGTATTCTCTTTCTTCTTATCACACTGCGATGGGATCACAATTGAATTTATGAATGAAAACAGTAAGTAATACAAAGGTTCTTTTTAATCGAAAATTTTTGTGGCATGTTTTGTGGTTTTTATTATGTTTTTCAAACATTTGTTATAAGCGTTTGTGATTGTGTTCTTACTCACTATAGACAGTCATTTTTTTTGTTTATTTTAATTTTGCAGCATTATTTGCCTACGAGAATAATCACAATATCCTTATCATCACTCATCTTTTTGTCTTCATCGTCTTAAACTTCGAGGCTTTAAATTTTAGCCTTTCATGTGTTTTCCGTTTTAATCTATTAGTATTATTTATTTGATTTTTTTATGATTTTAGTTTAAACTGTGAATAGTTTGATAGCAAGTTGAACGCTAAAAGAGAATAAAACATAAGGCTTTTAGTTCAAATTTTTATTTTATTGCAATTATTCTTATCGATTTTTTTTGGCTCGTTTATATTAAGATATTTATTATATATAGTTTCAAAGTTAATTGAAAACGATAATTCCGTCCAGCCGTTCCCGAAAAAACGTAAGGAAAACAATTTCTGAAATATTTTTTTATGAAAAAACGTACAATTTTGATTGAAATAAACCGCACTTTTCTTGATGACTTCGATATCAACGCTACTTTAGACAAAGAACAATTTATTTTCGATTTTAGAGATTTTAGAAATTTCGAATTTAGAGATTGATAGTATTGATAATAAAAATGGGTAAATATTTAATAATTATAATAATAATTATTATTATCAATTGCGTGAAATAAAGCAAATAATATTTAAAAAATATAAATAGAATGCTCTGTGAATTGTCTTTCCGCGGTTTTCTTCATCAGTTAGATGTCAACTAAACACTAGAACAGTAACATTTTTGCGATCTTAAATATGGATTTAATTATAATTTTCACTAATCGCGAATTATTGGATTTGCTTTAAACATCAAGCAAAAAAAATAATTCAGCCAAATTGCACGACCAAAGGTTGAGAAACTATATACGATTCTGTTCAAATGAGCCGCACATTTCTTCATCAGATAGAGAGCAACTGGACGTTAGAACTGAAACATTTTAAAAACATGCTTGTATAAATCCGCCAAATCCTCATAAAGTAAAACGATTACTTAAAGCCAATTAATAGCAATGAGAACTAATGCAGATATTTAATTGAAAACTTTTAAATCGACAGTGAAACACATAAAAATAAAATACAGTAGATCTCAGCATCAATAATATTTGGAATCCAACCAGTAAACCCCAAAATTAACTGCATATTCGATCCGAAGCACTAAAATATATCGAGAATAAACTCGAAACACCATTAAGAGGTTTACATGCAAAGTGAGAACTGGATTCGCAGCTCTGTAGAAAGCCCACAATGAAAGAAGGTTTACCTTTAGACAACGCCTATCCAAAATATAAATCCCAAACTATAAAAATCTCTGAAACAACAACCACCAAATCACTTTCAGTCAACCAAAAACCAGTCCTTCAAGCGAGAAAAAACGTTCGACACGAATCAAAAACCGTGTTTGTCCGGGTCAACGAGAAGGTAAGTCGGCATACCTGCACCAAACAGAAGGTAGACGAAGTACTGAATAAGCGATCGTCCGTCCAACTGGTACTGGCGGCGGGTCCACGGTTCTACCCGTGGTTCCACCGGTGAGAAAGCGAACGTCTGCACCCAAAGGTTTTGTTTATCTGCGATTTGACGACCATAATAAGATGCCGTTGTTTTGTGAAAAGCAGCGCCGAAGAATAGCAGCTACTCAGAAGACAATGAGGGATTTTATGAAACAAGGAAGCACTTCTTGGCTCTCTACAGCCTTCTATGGATAGCACTTAACAATCTAATCTGGTTGAAATATTGCCTCTTCAGTTGAATACAAATTATGTAATAGGAGCACGCTTTATGGCTCCTGTTAGCTCTTGTTTTCAAGTGTGTTGGTTTTTGCATTGCATAAGACTGAATCGTGTTTTTTTCAAATCAATAACATCAGATACATTTTCGCATTTCTTAGGGACGAATTCCCTTGATCTTATACAGAGAGGAAAATGCGCCCGTATGTTCTCTTCAAGATTCAGTCAGAACTTTTCTGCTAGGAAAAAACCCTGAGATAACCGAAAATCAAGTGAACCATCATTTTGAAAAACAAAAAATTTCAGCGTTTACAAAGAAATTATTCGATTCGACATTCACAAAGAAATACAAACGTGTATTGATCACACCTGATTTTTTATTAACATTGCGAACACTTGGACAAAAAAATCAAAAACCATAAAATTCCCGAAAAGAATACATTTGTTCGTCGAATCAATTGAGACAAGCAAAACAAAAAAATACAAAACCAGCGTTTCATTACACAGTTGAACAATTTATCACAGAACTGTTCAACTTCACTTGATAAACGAACTTCACAACATCAGTTTTCAATGTTTCCAAGAATATTTACCTCTTGTAAAACACCTTCAAGTGAAAAAAAATGTTCCTGCTGAAAAAGTTGTCCTTCGTCAAACTCATCCTTAACACGGGGTTTCTTCGGAAGTTCGAAATCAAAGAAACCGTCCGCCAAATTTTTGGATAGATCGATTGGATAAACCTCAACTGTGGACCAAAAGATTACAACATGGAGACATGCAGATGATACAACATTGATTGTTTTATTGGGAGAAGAGGAATTGTAGAACTTTCTAAACCGACTTGAGGCAGAGGGTAATAGAAGCAACCTTAAAATAAATGCATCGAAAATGAAATTTATTATTTTCGATGTTTTTAACGCTCTGCAACGGACTGACGCCCAACGCAAGTTCAAATCATCGAACATTTTAACTATCTTTAATCATATTTTTGGGTTCAAGTGAGAGCCACATCCGAGATAGAGATCATAAAGGAAAATTGTATGCATTTTAATTTTTAAACTGCATCTGCTTTCTCTGAAAATTCCACAAACTCAAACTAAAAATTTGCAAACCCATTCGTGTTTTCGTGAATACAAGCGACGAGCCAAATTAAATTTCCATCAACGTATAAAATGTAAGAACTCACTGAATTATTTATTGATGATGGAATGGAAGCGACAATTAGCAATTCGGCAGGCAGGTCAGGTGGAAAAATTAAAGAGAATCAATTCTATTTTATAAATATATTCACAAGACAAATACACAAATACTTTGGTATCTTAATTCTAAAATAAAAAGTCTATAACTAGAAATTACAAATGACCAACCAATCGATAAAAAGGCAATATTCCTTTTGAGTAGATACTTCCACACATGATATGAAAATATTATAAATAGTAAGATATTGCTTTTCGGTATACTCTATCAATGAAGATGGATGAAAATTTTACAAATGGAATTCTATATGGAATGCAAGTATCCACTTAAAAACTATGTACAACTTGATTGCTCTTCCCATTTGCAACGGTAGTTTGGAAGTTGATGTAAAAATATATGTACAATTCTATATCGCTACTATTTGATAGTTTTGCGCTAAAATCAATCAATCAAATCTCAATTGTAGCACATACTTTCACAAAATTCGGAATAGCAAAACTGTTAACGCCATTCGTCACAAGATGAGTTTAATTGCGGCGGGCATTCTGCAATCTACCATCCTGAGAAAATACCTTGTAATTGATTGATAGGCTTGAATCAAAGCGTGATGGCTTGGAATGTTTATAACAATTAATAGCAATATTGCCCTTGCAATATTACCAGCTCAGTAAGGATGAAAGTGATTTTTTTCAGTTTCGGATCAGTTGCTAAGTGCAAGTGTTCCGTGCAATTATATATCAAGTAGTTCGCAAAAAATAGTAAAAAAGCTGAAAACATTGTATTTTTTGTTCAATAAACAAGCTGCAACACGGTCAAGTGTGAATAAGAGACCGGATCCTCGCTCGTACTTGCTTCTAAAAAACAAAAATTAATTAGGTTTCCAATGTATTCACAAATTTTTAATTTATTTAAGACTTTTTTTATTACATTAATATTTAGTTTTATATCGCAGAATGAGACATGCTGTGTTGGATAATAAATCTTCAAGAGTTTTTTGTAAGTTTGGAAATTTATGTTATAAACATCATAAAGTAATAAACAGTAGTAGAAAATTAGTTGTTAGATTATAACCATGTTAGAGTTATAAAAAAATATTATTCAAGTTTTTTTCAATTTATTGCAGAATTTTAGCTTTTAAGCACAGCAAAGGTCTCTTTCACTGAGGGTTAGAGAATTTAAAAATGGTACTAAATACAAATTTCCTGCTAAGAATCCAGACAAAATAGAAATGTCTTTGATTTTTTAAACTCTGTATGACAAAAACCAATTTGAAGAAAAAATGTCGAGTTTATATAAACTTCATTCATTCTCTGTTAAGTTTCGCTATTAAAAATGGATTGTATTTGTCAATGAAAATAATCTAATCTCCTTTTCGATTATGAGGCCGTGAGACCTACTGCCAATTTTCCATTCGTTTTTGCTATTTTTTACTGCCGAAGCATCAAAAGCGGTGACAAAAAAATAATAAAACATACATAAAAAATAAACTAAACCAGTAAACATGATCCTGAATAAAACCATAAATGTATTGTTGCTTAAATTCGATTTTATGTGCACTTGTAAGTTAAGTAAAGGTACCTTCTATTATATGCTGCCATTATTGAGAAAATGCGCGCAAAACTAGCAAATCTTACATATCTACAATAAATAAAAAATAAATTAATAACGGTGCTTTGTGGTAAATGCTAAAATATAATACAAAAGTGGTGTGTGCCATTTCACTGGCCGGGACGTAACTAATCGATAATTATGGCAAATAAATAAACTTAACTAGTATAAAATAGATATGCCATTTATTATTTTTAATAGAGGCTTGTTAACTTTATTGAGCTCCTAGCGTCAAATAGGTAATTATTGGGTCGTCGTCTCTAAGCTTTCACCTGAACAGAAGAACTGCGGACAAATAATACTGCAGATGGAAAAAATCGCCAATAAAACCTCCATTAAAAATTCAATACGCATTCCACTAGTAGTCTTCTGGCGTTGGAAACTAACATAATAATAACTTCTACGGTTAAAAATTTGGCATCAATGTTTAATATTAGATTTAAAATACACATTTCATTTTCAAACGACAGCGTATACTAATCCTATACATTCAATGTTCTCATATTCGCGAACATAATTATATTTTCTATTTATTTCTTAATAAAAATATATTTTTAAACTATAAAATGTATTCTCGTAAGTCAATTTACAACAACATTTATGGCCATATTTGGAGAAATACAATAATGTTTCAATTTTGAATGTCCAGCCAACAGCACCTGAGCCGTAAATAATGTCTTACACATTTTATTATATAAAATGAACTATTTAAGAAAAAACGGTTTGAGATTTAAAGTAAATTGTTTTTTGTCTAGAATAGCGAGGGAATTATTACAAGTCTATACATTAATTGCTCCCAATTGCAACTCAATTGCTAAAAGACTACAAAGCGATACCTTTCATAAGAAATATTGCGTATTAAACAATTATAAAAAGTGATTTTTGAAGCCGAAAAATTATTGGCGATTTAATCCGCCTCTGCACTGAAAAACATACGAGAAGAGCAACACTAGAAGTAAAAAATGTAACTAAATGAATCAAACTGGTGCTGATGGGACGAAATTCAACAATCAAAAAATTACTCTGTAAATATCAATTCTTATAAATAGAATATTATACATTTCTTAAATGTTGTACGCCACCACATTGGTTTAAAAAATATATCATTTCGTGGCGATATACACTAAATGTAAATTGAATAAGATTTACTGAAATATTTAATACATTCTAAGCGACAGTAGGAACAAAACTGTATTTGGTTCAAAGTGTATTCGTCGGTTACGCAAATAAGAATTCCTCAATTGTTAAGACAAAATCCTCAACATGTTTCTAAAAGCGTTTAAATAATTATTATTGCCTTTTGAAGCCAACAAGCATTTCATTCAATTCCCAATAAAAATAACCACCAAATTCACACAATTGCTTTTAGTTTAAAAAAAATCCTAATACGTTTTATTTCCGAAATTATCCGAAGGAACCTTTGAAAAATACAATTTTATTTACAGTCCATTGGTGTAATCTGTGGTTTTTCCACACAGGGTTTGGTAAACTCTTATTTGATAACTTCTAACAGTAAAAATTGTTTAACGCAGAATTAAACAAAATTAAAATAACTTAACTGTATAAACCAAAAAGAGTACAAACTAAAATACTGCGTTTTCTGGTAAAAACCTTTGGTATTAAAAGTGAAACATCGCATGGCTATGCAAAGAGAGACAGATGATGATTCTTTGGAAAAAAGAACATGAGTCAATATCAATACATTCTTATGTACACGTATATAATTACCATAAATTTGAATGATTTTTTTTGTACTTTATTTCAGTAATTTGTGATCTATTTTATAGTATTTCTGAGATCATTGAGGCACTGATTTAATGGCATTATCTTTTTACAACCGTACAAACACAGTTTTGTAAAAATAAATAGATTCATGCAAAAAAACAAAACTAATTTGTTTTAGGTATATTAAATTTAGGTAGTTGCGGTTACACGTTAAAGTCAATAAATATTAACAAACTACCTAATATTATAAATTATCGAAGACTTCGAACAGTGGAAACATTAAAATTTATTTGTGTTGCTTCGTTGTTAGGAATCCTGTTAGCATTTAAGCGAGCATTTTAATGTTTCCAGCTCAAATGCCTTTATATGAAAAATATGTCAACAATTGTGCATCAAATTGTTCAATGTACAGGATAAATCTTAATCTTAAAATCTACAGACTATTTTAACTTTGGCAAGGCCAAGAAATGACAATAACTTCCTAAAAAACTGTTGGGTCATTTGTTTGGCATCGATATTGAACCTGTGTAGAGTTCTGGATAGGCACCTGTAACCATACAGGGGTAGATTGAAAAAAATGCTGAAAGAGCATCAAGTCGATTTAACCAACACCTCACTCGATGACCTCTCTAGACTACTACTCTCCACTCTTGCGTCAAACTCAACTGGATGTGACTGAACATCATCTAACTTATTTTTTTGCTTCAAAACGTACTCATCAAAACCATGCTGAGATTTATTCAAATTCCTATGCTGATAAAATACTAAGGAAATTCGTGTTGGGTCAGTCCTGTTGGGGTTCTTAAGGGACGTGGTCGCATGCAATTCGTGTTTGGCACACTCAAACAAAACACTACCGTGGGAAAGAGCAATAGCAACTCCCCCAATTTCTGGATCTCGAAAGCATTCGCTGTTATCGGTCAATTTAACATCCACCGACTTTGGCGGCTTAACATTTCGATCATTAGGCTCATTCGCCCTGGATACTTTTCCAGGACTGAAAGGCGGAAGCAAATTGGGAATGGCCTGGAAATTACTAGTTTGATAATCAAAGTGATTCAAATAACCCTGCTGATTATAGTGGCGACTAAATGAGTGATCGTGATGGGATTGGGGTGAATTCAATACTGCAAATTGAGGAAGATAATTCGACAAGTTATTGCCATTACTATGCATACCAATACTGTTCTCGTAACTACTACTGAAATTAGCGTACCTCCAACTTATTGGATTTCTACCGGGAGAATCTAAAACGGTACTCGACACCTGCCCGCTTTGAATTTCCGAACTGCTAAACGCAGACGGCGATGGCTGCGAAGACGGCAGCAATGATGTTGAAGAGACTGAAGGCGATGAAGGTTGAGGCGTGGCACATTTTCGGAATTCCCCTTTTTTACTTTTTCGTTTTCGACATTTCTCGGCCGGCTCGGAAAACGTTCGAACTTCACTTTCATATCTGGAACAAAAATAGTATATTGTTTTAAAACCTAGATTTGAATTGGATGAATAAGAGGGAAATTGTGAGTGAATGTGTTGCTCGGTTTAAACCTCTTGGAGAGACAAAATAGAAAATTCCTATGTTTAAAGCACGCAAAACTTTCTTTTTAAAAAATGAATGAGCCCCAATACAAAAAACATAAACATCCCTTTTCAGGATCACTACGTTAACATGAACATACAGGGAAAATATTTTATACAAATATAGGAAAAATTAAAAATACAAGTGGCTGTTCCTAAGACCTTTGTCCCTGTTTACTATGAAAATGAACAAAAATTTGGATCTTTTTCAAAAGGTTTCTTTATAAATGGATCAGAAATAGTTGGATCTGGAGCGAGATTTGAAATGACATCGCACATTTTAGAACAGAAATGACACATTTTATCGAAACGATAAATCGCTCTTTAGTTTTTACACACTTACATTTACTGCTCATCCTTCAGGTAAATAAATATTGTTCAAAGTTTGATAAATAAGCTGCAGATTCCAAATGAAGATCCGTGAAAGCGCTTTCTTAGAGTAAAACAATTAAATTAAAATAAAAGCAAAACTTCCGCTTTAAGAGTCTCAAAACAGCTCAGTAAACTTCAGTGTTTTCAACGAACTTGCACTTTGGCCGAGAGTTTCAACTAAATATGCACAAACACATCTTTTAAAATTTGAGCATTTGCGCGTAAAAAATGCACTATTTCTATAAGCGAAATGAAATAACTTAAAAATGTACAGGGTGGTCCTCAACTAATGTGACAACATCCACAAACGGATCAGACAAAATTATTGCGTTTGAAGCAAATTTGTCTTATCCAGAAGTTAATGGTTTTGGTATCACAAGTGTCAAAGTGTAAATAAAATTTTACTTCCTTTTAAATAGACTCTTAATCAGTATTACTTCCACAAAAAAAACTTTGGTTTGCTTTTTTTTATATCAAGAAATCAAAATTTCTTTTGTTAGTTAATTGATTTTGAACAGTTATTCATATTTACTTTTCAAAATATAGACAATTTTTTTGCGGTTTTTGGGTATATTGCTTCGGGAAGTGTCTCCTTGAGAGGAATTTATTTTGAGATCCAATTTCAGTTCAAAAAATCACTCGAGGTTTCAATGTGAAATATTTCTGAAATATCGAATTGAACCGAGCACACATTTTTCCAGACTATTGCAGCTAGCGCCCGCATAAAATGCTCGATCCAAAAACCCCCAACCACATTTTTTTTTTAAATACCAATACTGGTTAAAAATCTTTAAAAAAAGATACAATTTTAATTACACTGACACCCTGTACTTCGGAAATTATTAACTTAGTGAGTGGATTTTGTTACACCCGATGAAGACCACCCGTATTATAAGGGACACATTCAGGCCTCAGACATCGAAAACCGTCGGCCTACAAAACATCAAATCAGGTCAAAATATTGATGTTTTTGCAAAAAAAAAACACCTTAGATGCTCATCGCTGAAAATATTTAGAAAAACCCGCTGTTGCATTTTCGTTCAAAAATATTGCTTGGAACAACCTAAATCTCAGCGACTCCTTTTCTATTTTATTTAATTACTATATCGTTAAGGTCGCAACTTACTTGGTAAAAACATCCATTTCCCCTTTCTCAACCTTTGCATCTTGATCCTCCTTGGACCCAAACTCATTGGTCTCATCTGGAACATAAGCTGGCAGTACATGCAACTGTTCCTCCACAGGTTTTGTTAGAGCTCGGTGTTTGGTCAGCGTCACCACTACGGTGCAACCATCAGTCATATTGTGAATTTCTTTGTGCGAATGGTCGCAGAAATCCATGCTGACAGTCACTCCAGAAAAGGGCCTGCCAGGTTTGGTGCCCAATCGGCATTCCAGAGCGGATTCTTCGCAGCTTGTCTGATTGGCGAACGATCGAGGTGCCAGCGTCTGATACATCGGACCTATGTGGTCCAACAGTTTCCCAAGGCTCGTCTCCAGGCTGGTTTCCTCCTCTTTTACACTGAGCCGGAATTTTCGCACGTCTTTCGACCGCGCAAATTTGCAGCCATTGTAATACATGCTCCAGGAGCATCCAAAGGAGTAGCTGGCTCCGCATGTTTCCTCATCCACACCCTGGCAGGCGCATGTTCTGGCATCGTTGGTCGAGCATCGTCGTTTCGTCGGAAGACCGAATTTGTTCAGTTTATCAGTTAGGAGACCGTACAGTTCGTCGGAGGTGCTTGAAGAGACTCCTTCCCACACCACAAGGCAAATGATTATGTAAGCTGAATGGCAAGTATGGCCGGTTCGATGCTTAACTATGACTAGATACTTTTCTTCTACGTTAACACGTCGGTAGACCTACAACAAAGATTTATCTAAATTTGAAACCACACTCAGCTCTAAAGAAAGTGGTTGCTTTTTCGGCGACTTCCAAAGTCGTCTAACTTTTATACGAATTAATCGATTCTAATAATTGTTTGTCAGCTTATAGCGTGATTATTTGACTATTATTTCAAGTGCAAAAAATGTTGATTCTTCATTTTTCGTCAAAAAAATAGTGGAGAAGACATCAAGGCAGGTCTTAATTTTGAGCATTACTCCCGTTGCCTTTTGGAAAACATATTCTTTTTTTAATCATTGCCTTATCTTAAAAATTAACAGAATTACAGCGCATTTACTAAAACTTACCCATTTAGCTACTGGACAGCCTTGGGCAGTTTTTCCCTCTTTGCCAGTATGCTTCACTTTTTCGATTCGAATAGCGGGTCCATTGACGCCGGTTTGTCCCTCTAGATTACGTCTAAGAGTTTGAAGACTATTAGCACAGCCTAAATGCGTATAAAACGTTCCTGGTTCCGGAGGACTTTGGTTTTGTGGAAAACAATGGCACTGAGGAATTTCCTCACCGAGAATTTTCGGAGACCACCTATCGGTTTTTTTCGATTTATCAGCACTATCTACTGAGTGCGGCGATTTCCTTTTATCGTGCAACCATATTTTGGTTCTTTCGGGTGGCGCAAAAAGTGTTGATTGTCGTGCTGCTTGAACACCGTCCGATGGGCAATTCTTCTCAACATCGCCACTTTCTTCCCATCGACGAGAATACAGCGTTTGTTCGTGTCTTGACCGCAAATCCAAGCAACCGTCCGAGATCAGTTGGTCAGTTTTTGGTTCCACTGGAGATGTATTTTGGGCGTCGCATTGTTGCGCACGTGGAGAACAAGCACTCGAAATGCTGGGAGATTGAGGAGTTCTACAGGTAGTTCTCTCGTGGATGCTTGAAATGGTCGCTTTTTCACTCGTTTTTTCAGTGATATAAAATTTATCTTTTGCAGCCAACGGCATGTTCTCTAGCGGCCATAACTGGCTTCTAGTATAATGTTCTTCTCTCCATGATAATCGCAAGGGAAGCTCGTTGTCTGTCTTAAGCTTAGAATAATTAGTCCACTTAACATTATTTTGAGCAAATCCTTGAGTATTACTTGGTAAAACTGTGTCATAGCCAGGAATGTTGTTTTGGGGGCCACCATCAACACCTATAGGATCTAAGTGGTGATGGTGGCTATACCATAAAAAATGACCGGTACTTTGGTTCTGATCGGCGCTCTTCATCTCCTGATCCATCTTACCGTCGTTCTGTTGCTTGTTCAGTATCATTGTTTTGATTCGCGTATTCAGATTCACTTTATCCGCCTGCGAGAACGTTTTCTGACCACCTTCGCTGAGCATTTTTGAGGGCGCGCCACCCTCCGAATGTTCAACGGTTTGCATGTATTGCGTGTGGTTGTTCTGCTGTTCGACCTGCTGCTGATAATGTTGCTGCTCAATTTTTCGCTCGTGCAACTGATGCGGATGCTGCTGTCGATCCCACATCATTTGATCGGGCTCAGGATCTTGCCATTCGGTGTGTTGTCCGCTATACTGCTCATTGCCTGGGTATCCACTAGAGCTGTGTGAAACTACCTGCGGACTGCTGGCGTTCACCTTAAAGAAATACTGCTTTTATTAATAAAATGCCGTTCGAATTGGACGTGGCTAAAGACCAGAATTGGAGTTTAAAAAATCGTATTATAAATACATTATTATATACGCTACAAAAGAAATGATTTCAAAATGTCTCATTCGTACGCTTCAAAAAAATGTCTCATTTTTGAACTGATAACTTCTTATGGGAGGGTGAACCGATTTTTCTCGGTCACTGCGGCTTCCACTCCGGCCTCTTCGAGCCTGAGGCTTGGGACGCACAAATGCACTTTGAATTCGACATTTTTCTGTTAGTGCGGGTGCATCTGTAGATCTGCTAAACTTTTCAAATACACATTGCGTTATTAAACTGACAGTGATTCTGATTTATCAATTATTGAGTGTGATATTAGTGTGTTCGGCGCAGTTTATTTTATAACGCTGATAACAATGAATCAACAAATTATCAAGGGAGAAGCTGCAGATACTGCAAATACTAGGTAAAGGGTGCTCATGTACTAAACGCCTGTTCGAGTTTCGCCTTCTTTTAAATTTCCAATTAAAGTACACACACAATTATACACACTAAAGCAGTTTAAGTGCAAAAAAATGTGGATCGTTCATAAATTTGCAGAAAAATGTATTACAAACTTTTGAAAATCATCTCCAAACGACCGGGTATTTATCATCGCAAATGAGATTGCACATTGCCGTGCACCGTTAAATATTGTTTTAAGAACTAACAATCGATGCTGTGCAACAAAATTGTCCCTAAGATCCACTACAATAAAGTTTTTGAAAAACTGTTGGACCTATTTTAAATCGCCTG